AAGAGAGAAAAAGAGAAATGCCAGAGAGATAGAGTGGAAGTGATCTCTTGTTGGTGACATCCACATACGTCAGGAACCTCACCTCACTATCATGTAGTGTTAGTCCCGGGTACACCAATTATGGTGTTTCAAAGAAAGAACAAAAACAAAACAAAGAGTTCTTCCTTCACATTCCTTCAACCAAACAACTGCATTCTTGGCTAATCTAACAACAACACATACCTAAGCCTAGAAATTAACCAGTCAGGAAGTTCCAAGCCAGCCAAATAGACCCTGAAAAACAAGGCATGCAAAACCTTCTATTGCATCAAGTGACATCTGCACCACATAAAACCACCAGTAGGAATCTGGCTGAAAATCTGTCACAGTTTCATCATCCCAATCCTCCTTCCTGGAAGTGAAATGTGGGGCCCTGTCACCTACCCAGACCAATGAGAATGGAACTCCAGCCCAACAAAAACATTCTATCTGAAATTCTGCAAGCACCTCCTTGCTTGCTGAGGTAAGCTGGACTGAATTCCATTTACTGCTTGCAGTAGAGAAGAGGGCATTAGAGGGCATTATCACACTGGACCCACCTACAATATAGCAGTCCTAGCTCATACCCGCCATCAAGCCATACTAACCAACAAGTACCAGGCCAAACAATGTGGCTTACAACAACGTATCAGCACCTTGTTTATCCACAATTCCTAAAAATGCTTCCTGATAAAATCTCAAAGGGACATAATGAACAATTCCAAAGAAAACTATGTCAGTGACTTGAAATAAACTGGCAGAAAATAACTACTTACCAGTCATTACAGAGAGACTACAAACTGGCCACATGCCTGTAAATGCTATAAGAACCCAAAAACAGAGAGACCGTGAGCCTGACCAGACTGACCACTCAACAGTCTGGAAATCGAATCAGGACAGCACAGGTAGACCTACAAGCCCAAGGTGAGTAGACTGAGCCAGCAACGTGATCAGGGGGCACTGGAAGATGAGGCCCCCTTCATGCTGCTGTGCCCAAAGTATTCAGCGGTGGGAGACACTCACATCCAGGGACTCTATGCCCTTAGCTCAGATTTCACTTCTATAGAAGAGAAGAGGAAACACCACAATCTACTGGGAGATTTCACAGGCAGAGGGACATGACAAATCATGGACTTATAAATCACATGCCTGGCCTCAACCCCTATACTCCTTTATATTATCCCTTAACCTGATAACATTCCCAGACTTGCTTCCTATTTCCTTGATATTATTCCTTACGATTATAAAGTCCTAGGACCTATAAAGTCTTAGGACTTACTCCTTCCATTTAAACCCCGCCCCTTCCTTTTGCATACAAACCATAACAACTCTTCAGTTGGTTTAGCAATGCTAAAATGTGTTTGGTCATGTGGCAATAAAGTTTTTTTCAATTTGAAACTCCTCAATCGCATTTTTGAATTTGAGAGAGGAGAAGAGAAAGAAAAAGCATGGGAGGACAAAAGAGTGAGAGAGAGGATGAGAGGAGGGGAGGAGACGAGAGAGACAAGAACTTGTTCACAATTGTGATATTTCTGCAGCACTCATTTTACAAGTTACGGGTAAGCCAAACTAATTAAAAAAAAAAGGAGAAAAGCAGCTCACCTCACTGTTATGTCCTCGTAGATTGAAGTTGGTCCTTTGAGGAGTATTCCTGTCTCTCCGACAATGACTCAAAGTAAATGTTACTCCGACAACTCCTCTTCCATTGCCTGTAGCCAGCCACCCTTCTTCATAGTAGCGTCTTCGACACACTGGCTTTTCCTTTTCACTTTTTGGAACCCTGCCCTTCCAAGAGAGGCATAGTATGTTGGAATCACTGCAAAGCACAGGCCCATGCTCCACGGATGCATGCATGCTGTCACAAAGTTTTAGATAAACACCCTCAAAAGGATGACCAAAATAAAAAGGATAAATAAATAACCAGCGTTCTTTAAATGTTAAAGCCGACCTTCAGTGTTTTTAAAAGGTCAGGCCGGACTAACGTTCTCTTAATGCATAGTAACAGATATCCATGTACAAAAGGATGATGGTGATTTTGGCTTAAAAAAATTAACTAGCAGTCTGGATTCTTGCCATGAAGGTTGTGTGGTTAGTTTCCCTTTGGAAAATCATGGTTACTGGTCCGGTTTCCTTTCCACTTGCCCAGTTTACCTCACCAACAAGTTACTATGCAATAGTTTACGCAGCCTGAGATTCCAGTTCCAGGATGACGAGAGATCTACACAGACATGTTCCCACATAGGAGAGGATTGTAAAGGTTTCAAGTATTTTAAGGCTTCGTGTACATACACCGATGTCCTTCCAATGCACAACACATCTACTTTAACATATATCTGACATTGGGTCACATTCTGGCAGGTTCTTACAGCCAACACATATTTGCATAAAAAGCAGAAGCAAAAAGGCACATGAACTGTGCAAAATTTCCAGCCCAACTTTTTTTTTTTTTTTGAACAGCTTTAAAATATATCCAGTTGTGCAAAAAATGTTTGTTTCTTAAAAAATGCCTGGTACAACCCTACAGTACATCTATTGCTAACCCCATTTTGGTTATGCAGCCAATGTTTTTCCTTAAAGACGAATGATCAGAAATGCAGACCACCCATTGCAGACAGTGTCCCTTCCTAGATCCGATCAGCCAGTAGTGCAGAAGTAATAGCTCTCCCATGTTAGTTCGTATCAGCTGAATTTTCTGCTAACTAGAGTGTTCCCTGTACTTTCTAAAACCAGCACACTCATTTTCCACTGCAAGTAGTGTTTTACTACTATGAACACTCGGGCAAAGTCTTATAATGCCAGCAAGTTGACAAAACTTCAAAGATACAAAAAGTTCCAGGAAAATAGCTTTGGGAGGTCAAAGTAGTTTAAGAAACAAAATTTCTTGTTTAAGCTCAGTTCTTTTTATTTGCTTACAGCCCTTTTACTGGCCCCGCAAGTATATTCGATCATTTGTAAGGGTGAAGTAAGAGAAACCAGGCATGCCTCTTTCCTTTCGAGAACCAGTCAACCACCAAGTTATGATTTAAATGGCATTTAAACCATCTAAAGGAGTGGAGAGCGAGAAAAAGACATGGAGGGAAAAAAGTAAATTAATTTCACGACCCAGTTCACACAGTGCACAGTAAAGTCTATTTGTCAGCTGAATGCCCAGACTTGTCTATTTTAACTTGCTCCCTTCCACACCATCAGCACACATTAGATGCTGCTATTTACTGGTCTCTGATATTTTATAGCGTACATATTTCCCATTCTTTAATTATATGTTTTAGTAGAAACTTTTCCCAATTTTCCTGGCTGGCTACAAAATTATTGGCATTTCACCTTATATATATA